TCTGTGGGAGGGGAAGAGGGGACAATTCAAGTTATTGTAGATTTGCAGCTCTAAGGATTTTCTGACACTAGAAGTGAAATATGTCAAAGGCCTGAATTTTTCTATTCACCAATGTCCTCTTTAGGAGCACTACAGTGAATATATTCAGCATGCTTTCAATGACACAACAAAGTGGACTCACGTATCTTGGACTACAAAACTATACAAGGAAAAATATGTAGGTGAAGAATGACCAAATTCAAATCAGTATTTTAAAAAATACACTATGTAAAAATGTACTAGATAATAGTTGGGATATACTAATAAAAATTATAAGATAGTTCTTGAAATAAGAGCTTTTTCTTAACACTTGGAAGGTAAATTACTGTAATGTTTCAGAATCAAACTGGCACTATTTTTGTATTTTGAGACAGAGTTTTGTTATATAGTCCAGGATGTGGAACCCAGTCCGGCCTCAAACTTGAGGCCACCCTCCTGCCCCTGAGCTGGAGCTGAGTCTTGGCTATTTAACACACGCATGGGAAGATAAATGCACAAAGGCTTGCATTGCAGCTTCATAATAAAACAAAACAGCAACATCAACAAAAGCCCAGAACTAGAACTACACAGAGTCTGAAGCTGGTCCACTAAAATTTGAGTTTTTTTCCAGATAATTTGCATTGTACACAGTGTATTGTGAACTATATACATGCATATTCAAATACTCACAAACTTAACCTAACAAACAAGTTCTGCCAGACAAGGTGACACATATCTATAATCACAGCACCTGTGAGGCTGAGGCAGAACTGCGGCAAGTTCAAGGCCAACCTAGGCTATATAGTGAATTTAAAGCCAGTCTGAATTACATGGCAATTGGGCCAGGGAGATGGCTTCAGTAGATAAGTGCTTCCCTGAAAAGTGCAAGGATCTGAGTTGGATCCCTGGTTCTGCCAAAAAAGGATTACATGGCAAGACCCTATCTCAAAAAGCCTCCGAGTTTCCTTCCTTTTATACTAAAAATACACTGAGCAACTGAATTCATTCTTTCAAAAGTGGAAAAGGAAATAATTTCTTTTCAATACTGGGGACTGAACTTAAGCTTTGCATTCTTTGGGACAGACTCTCACAAAACTGCCTAGGATGTGTGGTTACAGATATGGGCCAAGATATCTGGCTGCAAATGCCTATAGACAGGATGTGTAATTTCAGTTGAGCTTGTGTACACTAAGCAGGCAGAGCACAACACAGCCTCCATAGGACTCTTTTGAGACAATGCTGCAAGACTGGGGATACCACTGCTACTTACCTCTCTCAAACACAACAGCCTGTCATTCTGCCCAGCAATTAAGTTCAAGTTTGGAGAACTTTAGGGATGAGTGATGCTAGAAAGGGACTCTGTGGAATAGTATACAAGGTCTTGTCCCCTGACCACCAACGGGGAATCATCAGAAGTGCAGATTCTGGGCCAGAAACTCACCTTTCTCCAAGAGGCCTACGAGGGCTGCAGCTGACCCAGTGAGGAGCTCAGGGCTGGCATGCACAAGACCATAGGTTCCACCCTCAACACCAGCCAGCAAAAGGAGAACCACTATTCTACACATCTCATTTCTCAAAACTAAGCACCCAAACTGAAATATTTCAGAATTACCATTGACACTTGCTTTAAGCAATGAACAAAGGCTTAATGAAAACAAGCATCTACAAAGCTGTAGTTAAAAAAGGTCAACAAGTTCTGGCTTTTGGTGATATAGGTAATGGCCACAGGACAAGACAGCTAAAGACAGAGTGCAGCATCCAGCTACCTCAGGTTCAACTGGCTCTACTATTGCCAGTCTCTTGTTGAACTCATGGTGTCCTCACAGCACTTGAAATAAGAAAGCAGAGGAACTCAAAACCCCAAGGAACTTCCCAAGCTGTACAACCATCATCAAATATGCATGCCCCATTTTAGTGCAGGAAGTATTAGTGAGAGCTAAGGAAAGCACAGGCTACCGCTGGGGCATGAAGATGCTAAAGACACAGAAAGGTCTCACTGCAGTGAGACTGGCCTTGAGTTCACAGCAATCCTCCTGCCTCAGTCTCCTGGGTACTTGTATCTCTACACCCAGCTCCAAAGTAATGCATTTTAAAATAAGGAAACAGTTGCATTGAAACAACTTACCCTACTTTAACAACACTAAGTTTGCTAAAAATGCAAATACACGGGCTATAACCTGTACTCGCCTCAAGCATTTTACAAGTATAAAATTAGATGAAGCAGGGCAGGTGTGGTGGCCCATACCCAAAACACCAGCACTTGGGAGGCTAAGGCAGGAGTATTGCCACAAGTTCAAAGCCTAAACTGCAGAGCAAGACGCTGAGAAAAAATAGAATATCCCATATACACTTTGCTCTGATGCATGTTATTCTAAGTGGTGCATGCAGTCTGAGCCATTAAGAGTGGCCTTTGACAAGCAAAAAAGGCACTGAAGACCACTGGGGACATAGCTCAGTGGCGCATGTGCCTGCCTGGCAAGCACAAGGTCTGGAGTTCAACTCCCAGTACCAAAACAAAAACAAACAAAAAAAAAAAGGAAAAAAAAAAAAAAAGAAAAAGGCACTGGAGAAAACTTCATCAACAGAAAAATCTTCTCTAAGTCAGAGCACTGGTGGGAAGCTACGAACTTGTGAGGCTGTGGATGGGGAAAGTTCTAAGTCCTGAGCCTGCTGAGGATCAGAAACCAACGGGTGGATGTAGAGTTTCATTTACAAAACAAATGTACATTACTTTTGAAGGAAGGGAACAGGGTTAGTGAAGGCTCGTAACTTTGCTGCATGTAGGTGGTGCTGGAGCCTGAATCTGGGCTTCCTGCATGCTCCCTAAGCACTCAGCCCCAATCACTAGTCAGCACATCTGGCTGACAGCACTGAGCAGAACCACAAACTACTTTTTAGTTAGATTTTGAGAGATTTTGAGTAAGACCTCAGTCCTTAAGAAGGGATTAACCAGGCTTTCCACAGGCCAGCAGATTACCCAAACCACTAAATTTAATTTCTGGTGGCACTGGGGACTGTACCCAGGACCTCATGCATGTAAGGCAAGTGCTCTATTAAGCTAGGTCCTCAGCCTAGAAATTGAGGCTTTACAGTTTCATCCTGCTTCAAAAGTGACTATTTGTAGTTTTCTGCAGGTCTGACTCCTTTTTTCCAAAAAATGTTAAAATTTAACCTGTTATGTCATGAACAAAGACCATGCCTGGGCACTACTGGGTTTTGCAGAGTGGCAGCGCTCTAGGAGCAGCTGGGGCTGAACACCGCCTGCCATCAGCAGACCAGGACACACAGATTACGGATAAGCCTGTGCCCATGTAGGAAGTGCAATTTCCGAGTCTCTCCCTCTGTCTAGCCTTTACTGCACAGGGCCCGGGCATACAAAGGCAAGGTTCTGAGGAAGAAATGTCTGGGTGGCATGACGACACAGCAAACAACAGACCCTATTTGCACACTATTATGGTGTCTAGATGTTCCCCCAAAGCCTCATGTAATCTTAGGGTGACTTCCACTTTGTGATTAATTCACAATCCAATGCTGAGATTATGGTTGAGTGCTACACCTGTGCAGGGGCATACAGCCTGAATTCAATATAAGGGACAGGTTGGCTGGCTGTCATTGCAACTGCTCCTTTTAGTTCTTTGCTGTTTTCCACCACCATGAACTGCTGCCCTCTGCCATGTGCCACTCTGCTTTGGAGTCTTAAGAGTGTGGACTGAAACCTCCACTGTGAGCTAAATAAACCTTTCCTTCCTTCATTTTGGGTGTCAGGTTATTTGTCCCAGCAGTGAGAGAGAAGTAGTTGAGACATATATTATCAAACAATTCTGGAATGATTTTTCTTTGATATTCTTTGTCTTAGTTCATACTTCATTCCAGTTGACCTTCTATTCTTCTCATCTTGTTCTCCCATTATTTCATGCAATATTTTTTTTTAACTTTAAAATCATTTGTATGACCTTTAGGGAAAAAAAAAACTTTAGATCACTTTTTTAAAAGAGATTAAAAGTAAATCAGGGGCTGGCAAGATAGCTCAGCAGACTATGCATCTGCCTAGGTGAGCACAGGGATTAGGGTTAGATCCCCAGCACCACATGCCACCCCAAGCCCACACCCAGGCACAGTGAGACAGCACAGTGGCACCTGCCTGTAATCCCAGCATCGGGGAGACTGAAAACAGGAGGATCACTTTGAATCTGAGCTGTGTAGTGAGACCCTGTACCAAATACATTTTTTTTTAAAAAAGTAAATCAGACAGTATATGGTGGTATACACCTGTAATCTCAGTACTTGGGAAGGCTGAGACAGGACTGCTGAGAGTTCAAGGTCAGCATGGGTTACATGGTGAGTTCAGGGCCAGCCTGACCTACACAGTAAAGACTTTGTCTCCAAAAAAAAAAAAAAAAGTAAATCAAGCCAAGCATGGTGGCACAGGCCTGCAACCTCATCACTTGGGAGACTAGGGCAGGAGAATCACCATGAGTTCAAGACAAGGCTCCACAGTGAGTTCAAGAGTGAGCTCCGTAGTAAAGACTCTGTCTCAAAAAAGAATGAATGAATGAAAAATAGAAAATTAAGAATCATTTTGTTGTACCTTTTAGAACAAACAACTTACAGACACATTTTCTTCCTTTATGAACGGATACAAAATGCTTTGCTCACCTGGAATATCTGAGTAAGAAACAAATGCTTCCACAAGTTCCTGAGTTCAATTCTGAGTAATCCCAAAGAAACAAAATTCTTTTTAAGTAAATACAGAAGTAGAAAGATAAAAGACAAAAATAGCTGAAAAGGACAAATGAAGCACATTAGTTAGACTTTTAAAATATAGTAACCCATCTAGTCAGGGTTTTCTAAAAGGTTTGGTTTCTCACTGACCATTAACAGCTCACTTTCTGCTATAATAATCAAAATAATCACCAGAAGGCAAATCAAATATAGGAAGATCAAAGATTCTCTACCTAAAACATAAATTACCACAGAACTACTTTGATACAAAGAAAATAGTTTTATTTGCATATGAAAGACTAAGATATGAAGACCTCACCAGGTCGTGGGGCGGATGCACAAAGCTGTGATGACGCCACTGCGCATGCCTGCCCTGGCACCTGTGGATCCCTTGCCCACCTCACAGGCCGGCCCACAAGGCTGTTGCTCCTTCCTATCAGTCTTCCGTATCTTTCTTCTTTTTCTTTTTCTTCTTTTTCTCTAGGCTCTGGAAATAACCAATAAGAACACTTTTGAAAGAGCTGATTGTACACGTAATAGCTTCCATATAAAATAAATCTATTTTCTTAGGAACAATTTTAGAAGATTAAAATCCAACATATAGCAAGTACTCCTATACTAGTTAGCGCTGGGGTGCAGATATAAAGATATGGCACTTGCCTAATGTGAGGTCCCAGCTTTGGGGCCCAGAACCACCAAAACAAAAACCCTATAACTTCCTCCTTTAAAAATGTCCCCTTTTTTGTGGGGGTGGGGGCAGTAGCAGGGTGGTGGTGACTAAATTTTGGAAATGGCCTTTTATACTAGAAACATATTAGGCCATGCTATCTCTAACTGCCCATAATGAAATCTGTTCACTAAAATCTAAACTCCTGCCCACCCCAAGGAGCCCAGCAGTTGCAGCAGACATACAGCAGGTACTGTGCTGGTGCTCGGCTCTTCCTCAGAAACTGGTTCTTCCTTAATGTGCTTCTTCTTATCCTTCTTCTTTTTCTTCTTCACAGATGTGTCCTCTTCTACCACTAGTGCTTTTTCCTCTTCTTCTTCCTCTGCCTCTTCCTTTTCAACTAGATACAGACACACCATGGTGTTAGCATTTGCTCCACAAAATTACCATTTTCAACTATTCAGTGTTCACTTCAAAATTAAGGACTTCACAGCCTATCTTATCCAGCACAACTCACTTTACAAATGACACAGCAAAACTCAAAAGCGTTGTTTTCTCGTGCTCATACAGTTATAACAGAAAACAGATTAAAACAAAAGTCACCTAGAGAATATACTCTAAAGACCTGGATTATACTGTTGTGATCGAGTAAACTTATTTATTCATTTACTTTGTTTTTTAAACTGTATTTGGTATAGGGCCTCACTACATAGCTTGCACTCATAGTGATCCTCGTGTTTTCAGCCTCCTCAGCACAGGCATTACAGGTGTGCACCACCATGCCAGGTCTCAGGGGGTGGGGGGTGCGCTGGCTGGACTGGGCTGGCTGCACTACAGGGATGGAACTGGCTCCTGTACTGAGCAAGTGCTTAGTCCGCTGAGCTATCTCACCAGCCTATTTTTGTTTTATTTGAGATGGTGTCTCATTTTGTAGTACAGGCTGTCCTTGGACTTAACAGCAATCCTACTACCTCAGCCTCCTGAGTGCTGAGATTACAGAGTGTAACACCACTTCTGGCTTATAACGGAGTAATACAGCATCCATAAAACTTAGTATCTTCATCTATATAATTTAAGGGCGTTTATTTCATTGGACTCTTACTGGCATTAAATAATCTGGGAGATGAGGTCTAGCCACGTCATTCAGACTGATCTTGAACTCACTATATACTTCAGTCTGGCCTTGAATTCAGATTCTTCTGCCTCAGCCTGCTGAATGCTAGGATTACAGGCATGTGCCGCCTCACTGGCTACTACTTATATTTAAAACCCCTATCCTAATGAATTTTATTTTACATGTAGAGTAGAGAGATAAGTATCAAGGTAGTAACTAGTGCTAAGGATAAAAATGAAGTGAGAAATGCCATATTGGAGAATAGCAGCCACCCAGACACTTTAGAAGTCAGACAAATATCTGTAAGTGAATAGGTGTGTGAGATATAACTGGGAGAAATATTTGAAGAAAGAAAAGCAAATGCAAGATGTCAATGATCTGGGCAGGGGGAAGATGGAGTAAAAAAGAAATTGGCTGGGTTAAAAACAACAGCAAAGAGGCCTATGTGGACAGAACAGATTCAACACAGAACAGAAATTTAGAAATCAACCAGCCAGTGGGAATGCTTCTGAGGCTACTATACTTTCATAGCAGAGCTGACAGTGCACAATGACAAAGCAACAGGAATTGCCACTTGGGAGATTGTGAATGGCAAGGATTGAGTCATACAAAACTCTGTCTCACTATATGATTGAGAATAAAATCTGTACTTCAACATTTCAAACAATAATAGTGGGTTTAGGGGGCTGGGAAGATAGCTCAGTAGAATAAACACTTGCCTGGCAAGCTCAAGGTCCTGAGTTCAAATGCCAGTACCACAAAAACCAAACAAACAAACAATATTGGGTTTAGGGATATCCTTACTTTTGAGTAAGGAAATACAAGTTAAATAACTTTATCAAGGCCAGGAGCTCTTATTTGTGGACAATACATGTTTGATAAGGTATTAAGAAACTAGGTTAAATTAATCACTGCTTTAATGCTTTATTATAGAGGTGACAAACCTATGGTACATGTGTCACAGGGAGCAAATGGAGGCCACTTATATGCTCGCAAAGGAGCAGCAGGATCAGGCAAAGACATCACAAGCTGACTCAGGGTTGACTCCACCAAGCTTTTTGCAGGGCCAGTTACAATCTTATTTATCACAAAGTGTTGGTACTTTATGATAAATAAGTGGGTGTTGGTTGCAGTCTGGACACTTGGTTTCTAAAATGTTCGCCCTCTCTGTTCACTTGTTACACTAGCAGGTGCTGAATTAACATGGGTGAAACAAACTATTATTTAGGGCACTAACCTCCCAGCTAGCCTTGTTCCCTGATGAACATATGAAGTCTCAATGATGGTTGCCTAGCTCACAGTTCTTCCATTCACATAACAGTTAAGAAAACCAGCGCTGCACCAAATCTATCTTCACAACCATTTTAGACACCATTTACCTTTGTTCCTTTAACCCTGAATGAAAACAGTAAGTCGCAGTAGGACCTGAGTTTTGGCACACACAGTAAAATACAGAGGCTGAGGCAGAAGGATCTTTGCAAGTTCAAGACCAGCCTAGGCTACAAAATGAGCTCAATGCCAGCCTGAGCTACACAGCAAGATCCTATCTCAAAAAAAAAAAAAAAAGTAAAACACAGGTGTATCATTATTAGTATAAATGGAGTTTAAACAAACAAGGGCCGGCTAAATAGCTCAGTGGATTACAGCACTTCCAAGCAGGCGCAGGGGCTGGGGGTTCAATCCCTGGGCCTGCTGTGCTGCCCTGACCTCAGGGTGTGCTGAGAGGCAATTGAGTGTGGTGGCACTCTTGGGAGGCTGTAAACAAGCAGACCACTATGCGTCTGATCTACTAGTAAGACCCTGAACACTCTGTAGACCCTTCCCTAAAATAAAAAAAATAAAAATCAAACTAACCTTTAATTTTAATCTTGGATTTTTTTGCTTTCTTTTCAATCATTTCATCCTCTTTTTCTACCTGTTCTAGTTTGCGTTTTTTAGAACAGGTTGGAAGTGTTGAGTCACCAGAGGGATCGTAAGTCTTCACTTCACTGAAAAAGCCAAGGAATTTTAGAAACTCTCTACAAACATCTTCAACTGAAATCATTCTAAAAAAAAAAAATTATTAAACAATATTCACACAAGCATATCATTTTAGTGACTTTGTAGTCTATGAAGACTAATACAAAGCTTTCAAAAGGTAAAGAAGTGGTGGGCTAAGTGATTTCACAATCAACAGATACTATTCTACGGGAAACAATCAAGTGGAAAGATGAAGAAAACCTCTTTACACAATAAATCTGTTCATAACAACTAAAACCAGAATCAACTAAACTCTTACGTGATTAACTGAAAAAAATATAAAGAAATGTCAAAACTAAGTTCAGTGAAGAAATTTTCATTATGACACCCTAGCAGATAGATAAACAGGGGCCAGACATGGATAAGATTCTCTACAGTTCCACTTTTGCTTTTGTTCTAAATACTGAAATACAGAGTGCTTCAAGTTTAATACCTATAATTAGTTGCTTTAAATATTTAAATTGAATACTGACACAGGAATATAAAAAACTTTAAAACAAGCTAAGAGGATTAGGTATATAGCTCAGTACAAAAGTGCCTGCTTGGCACATGAAAGATCCTGAGTTCGATTCTTGTACCAAAACAAACAAATAAAAAAGGCAATGAGACAAACAGAAGATGATGGAGTGGTAAGCAGCAGAGAAAGAGCCTCTGAGTGTTGCCATCCAGACACTGGAATATGACAATATCAGGAAGCCAAAAGATGAAAACTGGTCCCCTGGACCCAGGAAGGAGGTGAATCCAAATTGAAGACCACAGAGAGAAGGAAAGGAAAAATGGCAAATGCTGGCAACCCCAGAGGCTTCCATGAAGAGGTGCAGTAGTAGATGGGGAGGACTACACTAGCTGGAGGGCTCAGTCATCCTGAGTAGCTGAATGACTGGCTGGCAGCCACTTTGGAGAGGGGCCAACCAAGCTCAGAACTCAAAAAACGGCTGCCAGTTCCATCTAGCAGCTTCCAGATGGGTTCAAGTCTGTGGAAGGTTCGCTGACAGTTGCAGGATGAATGAGTCTGGTCTTGGTCAGAAGGTGCAAGCTTGATGAGATTATCCACTACCCCACCAAAAAGGTACTGCTGGCTTGCTGGGTTAAATCAGTACGGATTGGGACTCTCCCCACACGTGGTCTAATAGTGACAGCAGACATCTAGAAGTGGACTTGCCTTTCAAGGTCAGTGAAGACTTGGGACATAGGAGAACCTGTACTGTAACAACATGTAACTCAGTTGTGCTCCAAATTTTCTGATCAAGAAGATTATGGAGCCACAGAGAAATGTGTTCAATGATCTAAAGTAAGCCTGGGGAGAGTCACATGGAGAGAAAAAACATTT